GCACAGTGGGGACAGGGACAGTGTCACCACAGGGGACAGGGGACATCTCCTCGAATGGGGGGGACAGGGCAGGGATGGTGGCAAAGTCACCACGGGGGACAAGGGATGGCCACATCAACAGGGGGGACAGTGACACAGTGGGGACAGGGGACGGCTCCTCGGGTTGGGGGGATAGGAAAAGGATGGTGGCAGTGTCACCATGGAGGACAAGGAATGGGCACCTCAACAGGGGGGACAGTGACACAGTGAGGACAGGGGACGTCAGGGACAGTGGACATCTCCTCGGGTTGGGGGGACGGGGAAGAGACGGTGGCAGTGTCACCATAGGGGATAAAGTGTGGCCACCTCAACAGGAGGGACATGGAGAGTGTCACCACGGGGGACAGGATGGCCACCTCAACAAGGGGGGATATCGAGAGTGTCACCACGGGGGACAAGGGATGGCCACAGGAAGAGGGGATGGCACAGTGGGGACAGGGACAGTGTCACCACAGGGGACAGGGGACATCTCCTCGAATGGGGGGGACAGGGCAGGGATGGTGGCAAAGTCACCACGGGGGACAAGGGATGGCCACATCAACAGGGGGGACAGTGACACAGTGGGGACAGGGGACGGCTCCTCGGGTTGGGGGGACGGGGCAGGGATGGTGACAGTGTCACTGTGGGGACAGGGGGTGGCCACCTCAACAAGGGGGACAGTGACACAGTGGGGACAGGATGAACACCTGAATGGGGGGGACATCGAGAGTGTCACCTTGGGAGACAGGATGGCCACCTGAATGGGGGGGATGTCACCATGGGGGACAAGGGATGGCCACAGGAAGAGGGGACAGCACAGTGGGGACAGGGACAGTGTCACCACGGGGGACAGGATGGCCACCTCAACAAGGGGGACAGGGGATGTCTCCTCAGGTGGGGGGACAGGGCAGGGATGGTGGCAGTGTCACCATGGGGGACAAGGGGGGGCCACCTCAACAAGGGGGGACATCGAGAGTGTCACCACAGGGGACAGGATGAACACCTGAACAGGGGGGACATCAAGAGTGTCACCACAGGGGAGAGGATGAACACCTGAACAGAGGGGGACAGTGACACAGTGAGGACAGGGGACATCAGGGACAGGGGACGTCTCCTCGGGTTGGTGGGGATGGGGAAGGGATGGTGGCAGTGTCAGTGTGGGGACAGGGGGTGGCCACCTCAACAAGGGGGACAGTGACACAGTGGGGACAGGATGAACACCTGAACAGGGGAGACGTCGAGAGTGTCACCACGGGGGACAAGGGATGGCCACAGGAAGAGGGGATGGCACAGTGGGGACAGGGACAGTGTCACCACAGGGGACAGGGGACATCTCCTCGAATGGGGGGGACAGGGCAGGGATGGTGGCAAAGTCACCACGGGGGACAAGGGATGGCCACATCAACAGGGGGGACAGTGACACAGTGGGGACAGGGGACGGCTCCTCGGGTTGGGGGGATAGGAAAAGGATGGTGGCAGTGTCACCATGGAGGACAAGGGCTGGGCACCTCAACAAGGGGAACAGTGACACAGTGAGGACAGGGGACGTCGGGGACAAGGGACATCTCCTTGGATTGGGGGGACAGGGCCTGGGCACCTCAACAAGGGGAACAGTGACACAGTGAGGACAGGGGACGTCGGGGACAAGGGACATCTCCTTGGATTGGGGGGACAGGGCAGGGATGGTGGCAGTGTCACCAGGAGGGACAGGATGGCCACCTCAACAGGGGGGACATGGAGAGTGTCACCACAGGGGACAGGATGGTCACCTCAACACGGGGGACAGTGACACAGTGAGGACAGGGGCCGTCGGGGACAAGGGACATCTCCTTGGATTGGGGGGACAGGGCAGGGATGGTGGCAGTGTCACCAGGAGGGACAGGATGGCCACCTCAACAAGGGGGGACATCGAGAGTGTCACCACGAGGGACAGGATGGCCACCTCAACAGGGGGGACATGGAGAGTGTCACCACAGGGGACAGGATGGCCACCTCAACACGGGGACAGTGACACAGTGGGGACAGGGGATGTCGGGGACAGGGGACGGCTCTTCAGGCTGGGGGGACAGGGCAGGGATGGTGGCAGTGTCACTGTGGGGTACAGGATGGCCACCTCAACAAGGGGGGACATCGAGAGTGTCACCACGAGGGACAGGATGGCCACCTCAACAAGGGGGACAGTTGACACACTGGGGACAGGGGATGTCTCCTTGGGTTGGGGGGACGGGGCAGGGACAGTGGCAATGTCACTGCGGGGAATAAGGGATGGCTACATGAAGAGGGGGGACAAGCAGAGTGTCACCACAGGCGACAAGGGATGGCCACCTCAACAGGGGGGACAGGGAGAGTGCCACCACTGGGGACAGGACAGTGACCTCAGCGGGGACAGGGAGGTGCCACCACAGGGGACAGAAGAGTAGGGGTGTCCCCTGGGGGCAGGGGAGGTGGCACCAATCCTCCACCCTGACGAGGGGACGTCCCCGGGGAGGGAGAGGTGGCCCGTGGCGGGGGGACAGCCGGGTGTCACCTGGCCGCTTGTCGTAGTCGCTGTCTGCGATCTGGTACTTCTCCACCTGCGAGACGTCCTCGTACTCCCCGATGCGCGCCCCACTCCGGTCTATCACCTGTTGGGGGGGCGGGAGGTTA